GTTGCTTATCTATACCAATTGTTGTATCACAGTACTTAGAGAAAGAACAAGATTATGAATGATAAAAGACTCTTTCTTTTATTCTCTTGGAAACTAACTCAAAACCAAGTTTACACAACCTTAATCTCTCAAATCTCACACACATAAAACCTAAACACAACATGTGTATTTATACAGTTTAGATGACTCCTAAACCGACTTAAAAACTAGGTCTTAAGATAACTCCTTAAGCCTTTAAACACACAGTCTTTAATCATTACTTGGGCCTCACGCCATCTTCAAGCTTAGCCCAATAGAAGAGTGGTTTTGGCAACAAAAAAAAAATGAAGAAGAAAGAGAAGAGAGTACTAAAAGTAGAGACGAGAATGGAAATGGAAAAGCAATGAGAAGAGTTGATACGGCATATTTGTAGGAGAAATAACATGTATATGTAGTTGTTTTTAATAATAAAAAAATTAAAAATAAAAAATATATTTTTGTCCAGTGCGGATTTGGTTGGACCGTAAAGTAAAAAGGGTATACTATTTTGAAAGGCGGTCCAAGCTTTTATCTGGGTCGAAAACCTCAACATTTTTTTTTTTTACAAAAACACTTATTTAAAGTAAAAAAGTTGTGATTGGTGTTTATAGTGCGGTTTTAAAAACATTTTGGGTTGGCTGATTTTTCAGTCATATACTAATTGCAATCTCAACTTTTCAACCCAAACTTTTTGTCTCTGAAAAAACCACCATAAAAAACATTAATCTCAATAAAACTACACATACTTTCGGATTTGTTCTTAAAACTACGACTCCAATTGAACCGATCAGTTAACCGGTAATATCTAATCCGGTTTGATTTACCCAGAATTTTGACCAAAGTTAATCAATTTTGACTCCATTTTAACCCAATTTTGACCCAAAAACAAATATAAAAGAAAACAAATGTCTTCTCTATAAATAAAATTATTATTTTTATTTATTTATTTTTAATAAACAATTAAAAATTATAAATTATAAATTAATTTTACCAAAAAATAATATACCACAAAATAATATGAAAGTATACCACAAAAAAATATATATAACAAATTTTTGGTCTATACTTTTGTTTATATAAATATACAACAACAAAAAATATACCAAAATTATTTTTTGTGCTATATTTTGTTATAAAATTTTGGTAATATAACAAAATATACATTTTCTTTTTGGCAATCATTTTCTTATAAATTCATTTTTCTTTTTTAAAACTCAAACGTTGGTTATATATATTATTGTGTTTTTAGAAAGAAAAATGACTTTTGAATTTATAAAAGAAAAATGATTGCCAAAAATAAAATGTATATTTTGAATATCACGACAAATCAAAGTATATAATATCACCACTAATCAAATTCATTATATATATATATATATATATATATATATATAAAATGAATTTGGTATAATATATATATAAAATTCAAACGCATTTTTCTTTTTAAAACCACCATATATATATTAATATATATATATAACTGACCTTTGAATTTATAAAAAAAAAAAACTGAATCTATAAATAAAAATGAATTTATAAATATCATAATATATACTTTGATTTATGGTGTTTAAGGATATATATATATAAATGAGTTTTGCATATACTTTGAATTTCACAATATACAAAATTCAAAGGTCATATATTATGATTTCGAAAATTATTATTTTATTTTTTTGTAATATTACCAAAAGTATATACCAAAATTTTATTATATAATTCTTTAGAGGTTTATTTTTTATATCTTTTTTTGATAAAATTAAGTTATAATTTATTATTTTAATTGTTTATAAAAAATAAATAAATAAATTTATTTATAGAGAAAACAGTTTTTTTTCTTTTATATTTGTTTTTGAGTCAAAATTGGGTTAAAATAGAGTCAAAATCGATTAATTTTGGTCAAAATTCTGGGTAAGTCAAACCAGATTAAATATTATCGGTTAATTGATCGGTTCAATTGGAGGCGTAGTTTTACAACAAATCCGAAAGTACGTGTAGTTTTATTGAGATTAAAGTTTTTTTTGGTGGTTTTTTCAGAGGTAAAAAATTTGGGGTGGAAAACTGAGATTGCAACTAGTATAGGGCTGAAAAATCAGCCAACACAAACATTTTTTATGAAATCCGCAAATACGCTGTCTCCAATCACTACCTTAATGATCACAGCTGTTCGCTAAAAACAAAACGTTATTATCCCAGATTTGAAGAAATATATTTTGCACAAACAAAATATTATAACCATTATTGGGTCAAAATTGGAAATGTGACCACCCTAAAACTCGTTTTCCTACTATAAATAGATTATCAAATCATTTGATCGGAGACATCACCAAAGAAAAAAACTAAAAATGCTTAACTATGTGATTATTCTTCCTTTAGCACTCTTTCTCTTGGCTTACAAATTCTTCTTTACCTCCAAAAGGCAGCGTTACCATCTCCCTCCCTCTCCATCTTACTCTCTCCCCGTCCTCGGTCACCACCTCCTCATCAAACCGCCGGTTCACCGTCTCTTCCACCGCCTCTCCAATATCCACGGCCCAATCTTCTACCTCCGACTTGGTTCCCGCCGTGCCGTCGTCATCTCCTCCTCCTCACTGGCAAGAGAATGTTTCACAGGTCAAAACGACGTCGTTGTATCAAACCGCCCTCGTTTCCTAACCTCCAAATACATCGCTTACAACTACACAACCATCGCAACCACATCTTACGGTGACCACTGGCGTAACCTCCGCCGCATTTGCTCCCTCGAAATCGTCTCCTCAAAACGTCTAGCCAATTTTCTCCACATCCGCAAAGAGGAGATCCAGCGCATGCTCACGAGGCTCTCACGTGACGCCCGTGTTGGCAACGAGGTCGAGCTCGAGTCGGTCTTATACGACCTAACGTTCAACAATATCGTGAGGATGGTTACAGGGAAGATATATTACGGCGACGATGTCAGCGACAAAAAGAAGAAGCAGAGCTGTTCAAGAAGCTTTTTACTTTCATCACCACTAATAGTGGCGCGAGGCATCCTGGAGAATACTTGCCATTCATGAAGATATTCGGTGGGAGCTTCGAGAAGGAGGTGAAAGCTGCTGCAAAAGTTATCGATGAGATGTTGCAGCGTTTGCTCGACGAGTGCAAGAGTGATAAAGACGGAAACACTATGGTTAATCACTTGCTCTCTTTGCAACAAGATGACCCTGAGTACTACACTGACATCATTATCAAAGGCCTAATGCTGGTAACGAATCCAACACATTTTTTTATAACAACGTACCTTCAATATAATGACACAACTAGTGGCTGACTCAGGAAATATTTTTACACGGATCAAAATATATATTTAAAATAAATATATAAATATTTTAGAGACATAAAAAAATAATATATATTGAGTATAAACGATGAAGTACAAAATAAAAAAGTAGAAAAATAGATGAAAGAAAAGTAAAATTTATAGAAGTTCTATTCTTCTTTTTCATTTATTTTAATACTTTTTGCAGCAAAAGTTAGCTAAAAATTCTTTTTACTTCATGTTAATCAGCATTGTTTTCTCTAAGTTAAACAATAATTGCATCCTATATGGACTTTTGCGAAAGCTAATGCCTAATGTATTTTCAATAGACAACAATATCCTAAACTATCAAAAAGGTAAAACCAAATATATTTGTGATGATTTTTTTGGTGAAAATATTCATAAATGATTCTTCATATTTAAAATAGTAGTAGTTGTTAATTGGTTATTTGTTATACTATATAATTGAGATTTTTTGTCATTAGTCTTAACAAAAGTTATGTCATAATTAGTCTTGGATATAAATGAAATTTTCTCATATGAGCCTTTCTCTCTCATAGCATTAAGTAATTGCCATTAAAAAAAAAAACTAAAGGTTAGACTAATTTTAGTGGGTGCAAACAAAAACTTTTAGGGGGTGCATTCAATAATTTTGTTAAAGATTATTAAAGAATTCCAAAATTTTACCCGGTGCAGCTGATCCCCTAATTACCATATGGATCCGCCCCTTGACACAACAACATCATTAATACAAAACGTTAGGCTACAATATATAGGAAGCTTTTCTTTTTTTACGGCAAATAACAGTCTTATGTTTTGAATTTTGTATGTGTATGTGAGATTAGCATGAATCACGTTTTTGAATTTCTTGTTTTTTTCTCTAATGATACATGAAACAGGGCATAATGGTTGCCTCATCAGAGACCTCTGCTTTGACAATAGAATGGGCGATGGCGAGTTTGTTGAATCACCCAAAAATTTTGGACAAAGTAAAACGAGAGATGGATGAGAAAATCGGACAAGACCGTTTGATCGAAGAATCAGACATTGCAAACCTGCCTTACCTCCAAAATGTAGTGTCCGAGACACTCCGACTACACCCAGCAGCGCCGGTTCTTGTGCCAAGATCAACAGCAGAAGACATTAAGATCGGAGGATACGATGTGCCAAGTGACACAATGGTAATGGTCAACGCGTGGGCTATACACAGAGATCCAGATCTTTGGACCGAACCGGAAAGGTTTAACCCTGAGAGGTTTAACGGTGGACAAGGAGAAAAAGACGATGTTCGTATGCTAATAGCGTTTGGAAGCGGACGGAGGATATGTCCTGGCGTTGGGTTAGCTCACAAGATTGTGACATTAGCGCTAGGATCGTTGATTCAATGCTTTGATTGGAGAAAAGTGAACGAACAAGAGATTGATATGAGTGAGGGTCCGGGGATGGCAATGCGTATGATGGTGCCGTTACGAGCCATGTGTAAGACTCGACCCATAATGAATAAGCTTCCGGCCCACTCGAAGGTTTAGTTCTGTTTTTGTAACTTTTTATTGAAAAAATATTACATTCTGTTTACGTTAGTGTAACGAGGACTACGTGTGTGATGGGCGAATAATAAATTGAAATAAAAAGCTATGTTTAGCAATAAGAAATCAATAAGAGCCTTTTTCTCCTACTTTATTTCGTTTCTTAATTTATATTATTTTGTTGATTAACGTCAGTTTTTTTCTGCTATTTCTATGGGGTTTAGAATTTTTCTTTCTTCATCCCATCTTTTTGGTCGTCGAATTTGTATTTTTGAAACTCACGTAATGTAACCAAAAATAAAATTAAAAAATTGATGGATTTTTTTATATGGCTACAAAAGAAGATTGTTAGATACGTAAACGAAAATGACGTTATCCTTCAAGACTTCTTCTTCTTCTTCTCCTCGATTAACACCAAAATCCATCGCCGGAGCTGGAGACGATGCTTCTCAATTCTTCCATCACAAGACGAGTTACAGAGCACACACAACCACTCTCTTCTTCATCCTCGTTTCTCTCTCCCTCTTCGGTTTCTTCTCTCTCTATTGTTCCCCAAACACGATTTATCGAGCTGCCTTCTTCGCCACGACACGCCCCTCTAAATCAAGAATCGTTAGTTACGTGATCAACACTCAAGATTCAAGCCATCATCAATTATCCAACGGTTCTCGTAGGATAAGAGCCGAAGCTGTTCTCTGGCCAGGATGGGATATTCTGGTGATCGTTTCGCCGGAGGAAAAAGTTATGCCGCCGCAGCTTCCAGGAGAGAATTACACATGTTTTTACCCTAACGGAGAGAAATCCATAGCGAGATTCGCGGCGATTCTGCCTTTCTCAAACCGTACATCATTCAGATGCAGTCTTCCAGGAATTTATCGCCACCACCATCCGATTCCAACTCCGATCCTCGCTTCTTCGAAAACGTTCCAACTTTCACCGGAAACCCGTTGGCCTGATCTACCTCTATGGAATTTCGTAGTTTTCGAAGCCATTTCCACGGAAAACGACGTCGTTCTCTTCGTCAAGGGGCCGAATCGTGGACTAGGCTCCAATAAACCGCCGGAGTCGTTTCGTTGTGTGTTTGGCGAGGAATCCGATACGGCCATCCGAACCGCCGTGACGAGTTCCGTGCAAGAGGTGTTCCGATGCTCATTACCGGACATAACGATCGATACGCCGATCAAAATATACCTCGAGGCCGTAGCAACCGATAAAGAGGAGACAAAGACCATCCCGTCGGTGGCGTACTATACCCCCAAGCACACTTTAGCGGAGCCACGTGAGAAAGTGCTATTGTGCGCGACGACGATGGTGTACAATGTAGCAAAGTATCTGAGAGAGTGGGTGATGTATCACGCAGCGATCGGAATACAGAGATTCATCATATACGATAACGGTAGCGACGACGAGTTAAACGACGTCGTTGAAGTGCTTAATAGTGAAAAATATGACGTCATCAAAGTTTTATGGATCTGGCCCAAGACCCAAGAGGCTGGGTTCTCCCACGCGGCGGTGTATGGTAATGATACATGCACCTGGATGATGTATCTTGATGTAGACGAGTTTCTCTTCTCTCCGGCTTGGGATAAACAATCACAGCCATCGGATCGGATGATTAGGTCTCTTCTACCGTCAAATCATAGCATGATCGGACAAGTGTCGTTTAAATCACACGAGTTTGGACCGTCTAATCAGACAAAGCATCCACGTGAAGGTGTGACACAAGGTTACACGTGTCGACGAGAGGAAGATCAACGGCACAAGTCGATCGTGCGGCTGAGCGTGGTGGAGCATTCTCTTTACACGGCGATCCACCACTTCGGTTTAAAGGGAGAGTATGAGTGGCGCGTGGCGGACACGGAAGAGGGGGTGGTGAACCATTACAAGTACCAAGCATGGCGGGAGTTCAAGGCCAAGTTCAAACGGCGCGTGTCAGCTTACGTGGTGGATTGGACTAGAGTTTCTAATCCTAAGTCGAGAGATCGAACTCCTGGGCTGGGCTTTAAGCCCGTTGAGCCGGACGGATGGGCCTACAAGTTTTGTGAAGTCATGGATCTGAGGTTGAAGAGGTTAACCAAAAAATGGTTTGGGTACCCGGTTAAAAACGGTTATAGAATGGCATGGCAGAGATAAGATTGTATTAGAGTACCGATTGGTTATTGTGTTAATAGTATAGTTCTTTTGGTGACAGATTTTTTCTGTTTTTGTAACCAAGATTTGAAGTTTTTGGTTAGGTGAAAGTACAGAAACTAAAAATACTTTGAAACGTAAGCAGAGTTATTTTAAGTCTAGTAGACTTAGTAGTCTCAATGCCATCTTGAATCTCATGAATAAATTCGGATACAACAACTTCATTTCTGAACTTTTGCGATATATATCAGACGATATGAATACTTGACTAAACTGATAACGTACGACGAAGATACAAAGCAAATCGAAGAAGATAAAAAGTTATCAAGAGCGGTGGAAAAGAATTGCTTTAAATGATGTGATTCAACATCACCACACTCGTGTACGCAATTAGAAAGTAGTCAAAAACATGAACAAATATGATTCCCAAATGGGCCCAATAGTACATATGACCCCCAACAATTATATGACAAAATTTTGTCTTCTTCGATAGCGGTAGATTCCAATTGGTTTGATATGAACCACATATACACTCCTTCTTTCACGACCACGAGAAAAAATATATGTTTTCCTATATTTCCCTCCAACATTTATAATCTTTTGAAATTCCTTAACATGAGTTGTCTTATTGTTTAGGTGACTTTGATTTAATAGAATAACCTTTTTAAAAAAATCAATTTATGAACACATCACGTCAAAGGATCTAAGCGTAATTCAGCTAAAATATTAATAAATTGATTTATGAATGAAACGGTAGTATAATTCTTAATTTTGGTTTAATAAAATAAAATTGCAATTTTGTTACTATCATTTTATTAGCACGTCGATAGCAGGCTTAGCAGCAAGCATGTGAGTGCAACTAGCACGTTTCATATATTCTCCTAGGCCAATTCTCTAATATAAATAGATCGATCTATCAAAAAAAAAAAAAAAGATATCGATCGTTGTATATTGTTGCGGTGACTTTTAATTGATCAAATAAATAACTTTGTTTATCAATTAACACCATGCGTGCGGCAATTATTTTTTTTGTTTCCCTATACTCTATGGTATTATACAGATGTATGATGAGTGAATACTATTGTAGTATGAAACTATGAATGATGTATTCTCGATTTTTGACTTTTTTTTTTTTTTTGTCATCCGCAATTAATTAGAGCTCAAAAGAGTCATTCATGAGGAATGTTGTTTACATAGGTGATATGAAGCGGTTCTGTACGAACTTTTCGTGCCAGGTTATCCGCCTTAACATTAGCCCTACGAGAAATTAAAGATAAAGAAAAAGATGAAAACTCCTCCTTGTCGCTCTGAAATTCCTCCAAATACACTGAAAACGCTGGCCATTCGGTTGGAGAAGACACCATCTTCACCAGGTCTGAACAGTCTGTAAAGAACGCTACCTCTTGATTATCTGCACCAATCATACACTTCATCGCCCAGAGAAGGGCCTCGACTTCAGCATGTAGTGGAGATAGACTTCTACGGAGGTTCGCAGCTCCCATGGTTGGCGGCTCTCCATTTGACGATGTACAGAACCAGCCTGTACCGGAGAACTTATCACTTTCTTTCCATGATCCATCCACAAAACAACGGTATCCCGAATACTCCGCCTCAAGTGAAATATCCCTCACTCGATCTTGATGTACCAAGTCCACAGAACCATGATTTTCATTATGGAGCTCAATTTGAGCTGACTGCCACAATTGTGCCTATTTTTCCGCTAATCGTAATACTTCTATTGGGTCTGTATCTATGTTTTCAAAGATCTTTTCGTTCTTTGCTTTCCAAATATACCAAATAATCCATGGGAAGGCTGACGAATCAACTTCCGTAGGTATTCTCCAAAATAAGTGATCCAAATTCGTAAAATTAGATTCCGTGGGGAAAATCCCCATAGTCGTAGGAATTTGTGAAAGTGCCCAAATCTGCCTTGCCGGGTGGCACTGAAAGAGTGTATGATTGATTGTTTCCTCTGATGCGCCACATCTGGCACATCCCGTGTCACAATCAATTCCTCTTTTCCATAAATTTTCCGTAACTGGTACACATCCCGTTAAGATTTGCCATATGAAATGGCGTATCTTAGGTGGACACTGTACTTGCCAAGAATATGCTTTTAACGTGTTGATGTTAGGGCCAAAAACGTTTAAATTGGTCTCCGACTTTTCCATCCGTGTAGAATGATACCCTGATTTAACTGTAAATTTTCCGGATTTTGTAAAATGCCAACCCAAAGAATCTTCTTTTGTTGGTGCACCCACAGGTATGGCGCTGATTAGAGCGACATCTTCAGGAGTAAAGATCGCTTTTAAGAGATCAATATTCCAAAAGTTTGACCGACTATCTATAAGGTCTTTAACTTTTAAGGATGGGTCAGCAACTGACCCATTACTTTTTGCTGGTCTCGGGAATTGAGCTGAAATCCAGGGATCCTCCCACACCGAGATGGATGTCCCAGATCCGACTCTTTTAATAAGTCTTTTACTAACCAGAGATCTAGCTGAACATATACTCCGCCATCCATATGATGGGGAATATGATTTTATATTTTCCAAAGGATTGGATTTCCTAAAATACCGTCCTTTAAACACTTTTGCGAATAAAGAATCTGGAACGGTAATCAACCGCCATAATTGTTTTGCTAGTAAAGCTGAATTAAAATCGTCCACATTCCGAAATCCTATTCCCCCTTCCGATTTGCTATCGCACAATTTGTTCCAGGCCATCCAGTGCATACCTCTGGAGTCACCATTTGAGCTCCACCAGAAATTTGCTACCGCGCTAGTAAGTTTAGAAGTGATTGTTTTCGGTAGTCTGAAGCACGACATAACATAAGTTGGTAGTGCTGCATCTACCGATTTAATCATCACTTATTTTCCCCCTTTTGATAAAAATTTAGCCGACCATCCGTTAATCCTTGTTTGTAGTCTATCTCTGACAAAAGAAATTTTTTTTGTCTTGGAGCCCCTTAAACTCTCCAGCTATCCGAGATAAGAACCCATACCACCGATTTTTGATTTGATAAAATACAACTACAATTTTGTTATCAATTTATTTTACACAGGGGCGGACCCACGTTGAAGGTAGGTGGGGCCTGTGCCCAATACTAAATGCTATAAATATGATATAAGCTGTATATTTACAAAAATAATCACGCAGCTTAAATGGTTCTTAGCTAAGTGTGCCTCATATCAACCCAAGCTCAAGTCCCTAAACTGCTACAAATGTAATATATTTTTTTATAATCATAATATAATTTAGCTAATTGAATTATATTTAGTATTTATACTAGGATCGGACCCGCGGTCCACCGCGGGAGAATATTGGTTTACATACGTTGCGTTTAATATTGTGTGTGTTTTTTAGTAGAACGAATCGTGTAATATACTTATAAATATTCATAATAACGAATTGTAGAGAAAATGTAAAATTGTTTATAAATATACCCATCGTATTAATTATGATTTACAAAATAGAATTTTATGTTTTAAAATTCTAAAATTAGACGATTCATGGAAATTAAAGCAGTCAAAATAGGTCAAAAACCGCGGGTCGAGCCCACATCATCTCACTATGGGGCATATTTAGGAAAATATATTAAACCCGCAAATAAGCGGGCCACATGGATTAATTCGCAGTGGGTCATAGGTTTAATCGGTTTTCATCCGCGGGTTGGCAGATCAGCCCGCATATTAGTATTTATTGATAAAATTATAATTTATTCAACATGTGGTAATTTAAACAAACTTTTAATAGTATTTTTTACTTATTTATTTATTTTAGTAGTATTTTAAATTTTGGTTACTTTAAAATTATTTAAACAAAATCCATGGACAATCCCGCAAATCCGCATACATTCGCGGGACGGGTTTGTATTTCATATATGCTACCTGCGGGTCGTGCGGACCGACTAACTACAAGTCAAAATATTTTTTGTCTATCGCAAAACGGACTTAACGGGATGAATCGACTCGCTTTGACAGTTCTAATGGGAATATTATTTAGTCATACAACAAAATGAAGTTTGGACATAGTAATAATAGAATATGTATCTTATTTGTTAGATGAGAGATTGAAAGATGAAGTATAATGATTAAAAATTAATTATTTTTTTTCATGATTCACAAAATTTAATAAATACTTATCATCTTGTTGAATAATTCTAAAATCATATTCAATAAATCTTTATAAATTGAAAATTAAACTTCTTTGGTAAGCTATAAGTATGAAAATATCATAATTTTGATTTAATCTAATTAAATTAAAATTAGTTACATAGATTTCATATCTATTTAATTAACACGACCAAAATAAAAATATCTATTTAATTTACACGACCAAAATAAAAATATCAATTTAATTTATAAAACAGATGGGTTATTTGTGATAAATTTTCTAGAAATCTTTAGAAGCAAATAAAATATCTTTTAATTAATGATAATTGGCTAAAATGAGCGAAATTAATGACAAAAACGTTGATTGTTATGGAATTAGTCCCAAAAATATATGAACAAATTTATTATATGTAATTAATGTATAATATTATTCGGAATATACTTTTATTATTAGTTACCATAAGTACAATTAGATTTTATTTGATTTCCATAAATATTTGAATTTATTTCGATTTTTCATTATTAATTCGAATTTATATTCCAAAAAAAAATCAAAGATCCGATTTCAGAATTTCGAGTCAATTTTCTGATTTTAACCCGATCCATTTTCATTTATACTTCTTATTTAATAGTATAGAGATTTAATAGTATAGAGATATGTAGTGCCCCATATAGAATTATTTTCTGGATACACCTTGATCACAGCACCCATCCGAGTAGTTGTTTACTAGTACTTATTAGCACGTTTCCTATAAAATAACTATATTTTTTTATCAATTAATAATACATATACGTGTCAAGTTGAGAGCAATTAACAAACAATTAACGCTGTCAAAAGTAACAATTAACAAAGAATGTTAGGAAGGTGTCTTTTATTCATGATTGATTTGAGATTTTTCCCCATAAATTTTATAGTTCCTTTTTAAGCAAGATATTTTTCTATATAATCATCACCAAAACTTCAAATTCTTTTGCACTAATTTATTTAAAAAAGTTTGTGTGATTTAAAAAATTTGAGGATGCTAATGTAACAATTGGAGGATGGTATATTGTAATATTCATAGTCAACTCTAATATTCCCCAAGTCATAAACAATGAAGAAAATAGAAGTCATAAACATTATACCCCTTTTGCTCAAAAAAAAAAAAAAACATTACACCCCTAGTCATAAACAATGAAGAAAAAAACAAATTGCAATATTAATTTCTTACAATTCTCGACTTTGTGCCCTTGACTTTCATGGTCGATTAATATTACGTATAATAAACAAAAATGTAGCTAGTGGTTTGTGCCTTGGTGGTATTGATGGTTGATATCTTAGTATATGGTTTGCAATGTTTTCGAATTTCTATGTAAAAGGTTTAAAAATGGTTGTCAAGTTGTACTGGTTCGAGTTTCTTTATTTCGAGACTAGCAGAGGGAAAAGAATAAAGAAAGAAATTTTAATGTTTTAGTTTATCTTAACGATGGGGTTTTGAAATATAGATAACATATATATATATATATATATATATATATATATATATATATATATATATATATGAGAAACCGTGAAAACTTGCATGGGTTCGACTTTCCATGTGAAAGGTTAAAAAATGGTTGTCAAGTTGCGTGGGTTAATTTTTTTTAATTTTAGTCTAGCGCATAATAAGTTAACAACAAATTTTAGAGTTTTAATTTAACTTAATAATGGAGTTTTTAGAGCTTGAAACGTAGATCTTTTTCTTTGTATGGTCTTTTTTAAAACGGAAAGTACAACTTTCAAGTTCCACTACTAATTGTCACGTTTGATTGAGTAAAATTTCTCTATAAATAAAACAAACAAACCAATAACTCCATCCTCCACAAGTAGAAAGAAACACAAACATCCTGAAATTCGAAGAGGACACAATGTTATACTTTATCCTTCTTCCTCTCCTATTTCTTGTTCTAACTTACAAATTCCTCTACTCCAAAACGCAACGTTTCAAGCTTCCTCCGGGGCCACCGTCACGTCCCTTCGTCGGCCATCTCCACCTCATGAAACCGCCGATCCACCGTCTCCTCCAACGTTACTCCAACCAATACGGCCCAATCTTTTCCCTCCGTTTCGGCTCCCGCCGTGTCGTGGTCATAACTTCCCCTTCCCTCGCCCAAGAATCCTTCACCGGCCAAAACGACATCGTTCTTTCTAGCCGGCCGCTCCAACTCACCGCCAAATACGTCGCATACAACCACACAACCGTTGGAACAGCTCCTTACGGTGACCACTGGCGTAACCTCCGCCGCATTTGCTCTCAAGAGATTCTCTCCTCACACCGTCTCGTCAACTTCCAACACATCCGCAAAGACGAGATCTTACGAATGCTCACTCGCCTCTCACGTTACACACAAACCTCCAACGGAAGCAACCACTTCACTCACATCGAACTCGAACCGCTCTTATCCGATCTAACATTCAACAACATAGTAAGAATGGTTACAGGGAAGATATACTACGGCGACGATGTCAACAACAAGGAAGAAGCAGAGCTATTCAAGAAGCTAGTCTACGATATCGCCATGTACAGCGGCGCTAATCATTCCGCCGATTACTTACCAATACTAAAAATATTCGGAAACAAATTCGAGAAAGAAGTTAAAGCTATAGGCAAATCCATGGATGATATATTGCAACGTTTGCTCGATGAATGTAGAAGAGATCAAGAAGGTAACACAATGGTCAATCATTTGATCTCTCTACAACAACAAGAACCTGAGTATTACACTGACGTCATCATCAAAGGCCTTATGATGGTAAATTCTTATAACCTCTTTGAGATTCAAAATTGTGAGATTCGATTTTGACCTGATTTTGAAATTGTGAAGTCGATGATGCTCGCCGGGACTGAGACCTCCGCCGTAACATTAGAGTGGGCGATGTCGAATTTACTGAGAAATCCACAAGTATTGGAGAAGGCGAGATCGGAGATAGATGAGAAGATCGGGAAAGATCGACTAATCGACGAACAAGACATCGCCGTGCTTCCTTTCCTCCAGAACGTCGTCTCCGAAACATTCCGGCTATTTCCGGTGGCACCGTTTCTAATCCCTCGATCACCGACGGAGGACATGAAAATCGGCGGTTACGACGTCCCGCGAGGTACGATAGTGATGGTTAACGCTTGGGCTATACATAGAGATCCAGAGCTTTGGGAGGAGCCAGAGAAGTTTAATCCAGATCGGTATAACGAAGGATGCGGAAGTGATTACTATGTATACAAGCTGATGCCGTTTGGGAATGGCCGCAGAACTTGTCCCGGCGCCGGATTAGGTCAGAGGATTGTGACATTGGCGCTTGGATCGTTGATTCAATGCTTTGAATGGGAGAATGTGAAAGGAGAAGAGATGGATATGTCTGAGAGTACTGGGTTGGGTATGCGTAAGATGGATCCTTTACGGGCCATGTGTAGGCCCAGGCCCATTATGTCTAAGCTTTTACTCTAATAAAAAAGAGTAAAGGTGAAAATGAAAAAATAACTTCATGTCTTAATGGATGTAACTGGTAATTATCTTAAGGATATATATATGATGAATAAAATGAATTTTTGCTTCATACGTAACAAAGAAACCATATATAATTTTATTCCAGTAACATTGAGTTTATTTTCGGATATATAAAATAAAATAGTTTTGCTTAAATCCACAAGAAAGTTTTTATTCCACTGACGAAATCTCCATGGAATATTTCAAATCTCGCTGAAAAGGAAAATAAAGTTAATTAACAATAAGGAAATAATCAGCTAAAATACGTATCAAAATAACGTGAAATCATAATAAGAAAAGAATTAGATGCAAAACGTACGTAACTACTAACTAAAATGCTCGTTGTTGTTCTTTAACTGTGACTAATAAATAATTATTGTTATCTATATAAATTTACCTTCCGAGATTGAACTATAGCCAACGTCTTCTGGAGATCTTCCTCTCGACGTTTAAGTTCATCTAGTGATTCCCACTGATTTGGTATTTTCAGGAAACGCCTTAAAAAGAAAATTAGAGAAACCAATATTAAAGATATACAAAAACACGTTATTCATGTCTATTAGAAATTGTTACCAAAAAAAAAATGATGTCTATTAGAAATATATAATATATAGGCATATCTATAAAATAAGATATTTACTCCAATCGTTCTTCCACCTCGGCCAATCGGACATAGTATTCTTCGATTTCATCTTCGATCACCTATTTTAAGAAAACCGAATGGTTTAGATTGAAAAAAAAACCATGCATAAAGTTCTTTAACGTTTTTTGTTTATATAGATAAATATTTCCAAATCATGAGAAGAAATCCACATGCCTTTGGTTGAATTTGATAACGAATCCCATCGTCAAGACTTTCTCTGCACAAAAAAAAAAAACTACAATATATAAAGCAAATAATGGTATAATTATAACGATTTAAACTTTGAAAATCTTAAATTAATAACCTCGAGTTCAATTCACTGCACATAGGTTCAGAACACATCTTCATAACCAATCGTCGTATATTCTAGATTGCCCATTCGAATCAGGAAAAACAAAAAACTTAGGTATACAATAAACAAAATATTAACCGTTAGATTATTTTGATTTTACCTGTTCATCTGGGAGCCTGTATACGATCAGATGGACCGACCGATTACAATATCAGGAGTTCATGCATATGTATAAATAAAAATATTAGAACTCATAAGTCATAATCAAATAAAATAAGCCTATATTACTTTTATGTTCTTAGATGCATGCATTAACACAATGAATTTACCTAATTTTGCGTTTATAATTAGGCACAGCAAGATACTTGCATATAGTTTCTTCGAGCCTATAATCATTAACAATAGCGATGATTTTATATCAGATTAATGACAAAACAGTTGATACTTGATATATGATGAAATAATAAAATATTGGAATTAAAAGAAGAAGAAGATAATGAAAACGTAATTTGTTTTGGCAAGGAAACAATATTAATATACATGTACCTCGCTTTGGCATAAAAAACGAAGAGTTTACCAGAAGGAGAGAAAAGAATGAGAGCAACCGGGACATTACATAGAATAAAGAGTTCATAAGCTTTCTTTAAAAGCCCATTTTTTCTTTTGGCAAATGCAATATTTCTTTGTTGCCTATCATTTATTCTTTTAATCTGTATTTTCACTCTCCCCATTTTTTCTTGTCTTCTTTTCACAATGTTTTTCCTTTGTCACTTTGCTTTCAAAATATCTTTGATAAGTTTTGTTTTTGTTTTTTTTTTAAGTTACTTATATAGATATGGGAAATGCTTTCTTTGGCTAAACTTGTAGATTTTCCATTAAATTGTATCTAAGTTATTAATTATATAAAATTATATAAATTTTATTTAATATTATAAATTAAATAAAACCATAATCTCGTCTGTCAATTAAAAGATTTGTTTTTCTTAGTTAATCTCTTATTCTCCAGATGTATATATGGGAATTATCTAGTTATATATATATATATATCTTATAAATCAAAATATTAAGTTAAGTAAAGGTTATATTATATAACATTTGAATATATAAACATTAGATTATGAAATTGGATAAGAAATCTCATTTATTATGGCTTAGTGGCTTCATTTCATCCCATATATGAAATGTGTTATCAAAATCTATGTCCTCAAGATGCCAAAAATGAGGTGGTTCTGCCACTTGTAAATAGACTCTTGATATTTGTTATGGATAAATATATATATATATATATATATATATATATATATTTATATATATATTTATAAGATCTGATATCCTTTTCTTTTTCTTTTTTTGACAAAAGATCTGATATCCATATATAACTTCATGAAATTTATAATAAAATTCATATATAATTTATCTAGGCAGATATCAAAAGGAGAGAAATTATTAATGTATTAAATTATTGATATATCATTAACACAAGCACTTGTGGTGGAACTTGATTAGATGTTTAAAATACATTTTTGGAAACCAACAATAAAAAAACTCATAAAAACACTCATTCAACATCAAACCTAAAGGAAATGAAAATGTCAACGTTGAGGCAGAGAGAAGTATTTGAGTATAATGGAAATGTCAAACATGTACAGAAAAAATGAAAATGTCATCGAGGCAGAGAATTGTTCGACATCTGACCTTTTAAGACGTCTATGTGAGAGATGAGATTGGAGCCAGTTTTTGCAACCACCTCGTTTTGGCGTTTAAGACCTTTGAGTATGACTAATGAGGCAAAACGCAATCTTTCTGATGTTGAAACGCAAGTTAAGATATTGGTTGAGGATTTGAAAAACGATTCAGCAGATACTCAAAGAAACGCAACCGCAGAACTCAGGTTGCTAGCGAAATATGACATGGATAATCGGATTGTGATAGAAAACTGTGGTGCGATCGGCTTGCTAGTGAATCTTCTTTACTCTAACGATCCGGAGACGCAAGAAAACGCGGTTACCGCGCTTCTCAACTTATCGATAAACAACAACAAGAACAAAAGTGCGATCGTTGATGCGGGTGCGATCGAACCGCTGATTCATGTCCTAGAAAACGGAGGATCTGAAGCGAAAGCGAATTCAGCTGCAACCATTTACAGCCTCTCATTGTTAGAAGAAAACAAGATCAAGATTGGTAGTTCAGGTGCGGTTGGACCGCTTGTTGATCTTCTCGGTAACGGTACACCTAGAGGTAAGAAAGATGCCATTACCGCGTTGTTTAATCTCTCGATACATCACGAGAACAAGGCGAGGATCGTGCAATATGGAGCCGTGAGATATCTTATAGAGCTAATGGATCCAGCGGTTGGAATGGTCGATAAAGCGGTTGCGGTTTTGACGAACCTAGCTACGATACCGGAGGGAAGAAACGCGATTGGTGAAGAAGGTGGGATTCCTCTTCTTGTTGAAGTTGTTGAATTAGGTTCCGCTAAAGGGAAAGAAAACGCAGCAGCCGCTCTTCTTCGACTTAGTACAAATAGCGGTCGCTTCTGCAATATGGTTCTTCAAGAAGGTGTTGTTCCTCCTCTTGTTGCTCTATCTAAATCCGGTACTCCCCGAACCCGAGAAAAGGTATCTATTGTAAACAATACGAGAATGTTTTGCTTAAGTTTCTATTGTTTTGATGATATCTCTAACATGATTAGGCACAAGCTTTGCTTAGCTACTTAAGGAATCAACGGCATGAAAATGCCTGACGTGGATAATGATGATGGGGAACTGAGATTGCACACATCTTTGCTTCTGATTGTAAATTTGTACAAATAATTAATTCCATTATAACTAAAGATTGTTGAGAATAAAAAATTTATTACTAAATAAATTGTGTGATCTATGAGAATGGATTGTTTTATACAAGAAAGATACATAAAACTGATTTCTTGTCTGAAAGATACGTGTGGCTAAACAGAATCATGAATATCCATTTCGATTTGTCAAAATCATCCGCTTTGATCTAATTCCAAAAATTTGGATAACAAATAGACTGAAAAAAATCAAAATAATTTGAATTTCTAGATATTAGCTCTGTTTCTGATAAGATATAAACACGTACTTAGAAAGAAAAAAAAATTACGTAGATAGGGACTATATAATTATGAGACATTTCAACATTTTAGTTTTGGGTACTTTCACATTTTAATATTTTCTTTACATAAGCATGTTTTATTATTATTATATACGAGTACTAAATAACTAGATTTTTTCTGTTTCGATAAAAGACCAAAAAAAAACTCTACAATAAATGTATAATGAAAAAAACAAATTTAAGTAAAAAAAACATTTTTGGTCAAAAGAGAGAAAGAAATCCTTCTCTACGGGATAATGGACCCCACTTGTGAAAGATAAAACACTCTCTCTCACAAGAAAAGCCTCGACCACCTCACCGATAATGGTGGCTATGAGATCTCCGTCTTTTCTCCGTCGTGTTTCTCACCGCCGATTATAAAATCCTTCTCTACTGTCATCTCCTTGCCGGAAACAGCGAGCTATTCGATTAGGTACTGTTCCTTTTATCCGTTAAAAGCTTTTCTAGGGTTTTCGTTTTTGTTGTTTTGTATCTGAAATTGTGATCTCATCAACGATCAAGCTTCGAACTTTCCATTAGGGTTTATGTCAATTCGACGTATTTGAATATCTGATGAAAATTGTCGAAAATTTGTTCAATTTCAAGTTTAAATTTTTATGACACTTGATTTCAGATTTTTCTAGGGATTACTTGAGAATTTGGTATGGAGGTGAAGGAATCGAAGATAGAAATGGATGATTCAATCAATAAGGAGATTGAGGCATTACCCAAAGAGATGCCTTGTACTAGTAACTATGAGGACCATAGTTTTCATAATAATGTTGAAGATCTCACTGATGATCGTCTTTGTGGTGGTGGTGATGCTGATGCTGATGCTTCTATTAAAAAAGAGGTTGAAGACTTGGACAACGACGAGGTTGATATATTGGGATGCAATGGTGACAATGAGATTCAAGTCTCGGAATGTGACGATGGGACTGATGGATATTCGAGCTCGTTTGATGGAACAGTTTCTGAACATGGGAGTGATGAAACTGCTTTGAATGATCAAGAAGTTGATTCCATGGTTTGTAATGGTACTTCACCTCCTCTCTGGGTGAGGTAAGCTCTTTCCTCATGCTTCTTATTGAGTCTTTTATCTGAATGGTTTCCATGAAGGATTGTTGTAGTTAAACCAATAGCAGAATGAGATAAAAACGTCCACGTGCTTAATTGGTTTTGTAGAGATTTTGATTGTTTTGGTAGCTTGTGTACTTTAAATGTTTAATTGAACACTATCAGTCCATCTGTGTGTTGCTGGATTCTTAAAAGGACTGAAATTTACGAGTTGCTTTAGGACTACTTAGATGCGTCTTTATCACGCTTCTTAATGAGTTTATATGAAATGGTTCCCTCGCTCGCCACAGTTCGAAATCTTTTTGAGATCTTGGGTTCCTTTACTAATGAGGAAAACGTCCACTGCTTAATTTGGTTTTGTAGATTTTCATGCATTTGGTAGCTTGTTTACTATTACTTATTATTGAACACTATCAGTTCCATAAAGGACTTAAATTTATGAGTTACTTTACTACTACTTAGCTGCGTCTTTGATTTATCTCCTTTAAAGGAAGTTAGGAGAAGTTTTACTCTATCTCGTAAAATGGTATGCGGTAATTATTATTTTTTGTTCCTTTTTATGGCAGAAAGAGGAAGCTGACTGATCATTGGAGGAGGTCTGTACAGCCTATAGCGTGGCGTTGCAAATGGATTGAACTCAAAATCAAAGAAATTCAGAACCAAGCACAGTTGTACGACAAAGAAGTTGAAGAATTTTGCCAAGCCAAGAAACTGGAGTTAGAAAGTGTCAAATCAGAAGAACTTGGAATAAAGGCATTGCCTCCTCTTCCATGTTATACTCAGAAAACCCAACTCAGGAAGAGGAAAAAGAGAAAGCGAGTTGAAGAGACCGCAGATGTTCAATCCTATGCATCAAACCATAATCTCTTCTCTTATTATGGTATGGAACAAGTTTTGGGTTCTTGATTTTTTTCTGTTCGTGTTTTAATGTTCATCTGCCATTACTTGTGTAATAATTTCTTTTTTATTGTTTCTGATCTTTTTATAGATTGTCGGAAATCTTTGGCCGATATTGCTCTTAATGACAACTCCCGTAACCTAGGTATGGTGTTCCAAAATCTCAGCTTTGATATGTTATTGATCCTTTTGAAAACTTTGATCTTATAAAATCTTTTTTCTGTCTTGGGTCATCAGATAAACGGAATAAGAGCGCCAAGGATGAGCCAGCATTCTCTGAAGAGTTACCGCCTCTCGAGTTTAGAGAAGGCGATGCGTACTTGGAACAGATACTTTTGAAGATTGAAGCAGCAAAGTCAGAAGCCCGTAACTTGAAGAACCGAGTAGACAAGGTTTTGAGTGAAAATCCCATGACGTTCTCTCTGGCTAACACAGTGAATCTACTTGGAGCTGCTGGTGCTGCTGGTGTATACACCAGCTCAGAACAAAAAAAGCCCCTACTTGCTATCAAAAGCGAAGATGAGAAATCGATCATTTCTGAAGAAAAACCAGTGAAATCTGCTTCAGTTTCATCTCATCACGACACACCTGAAGACGACGAGACAACAGATATTTTGCTGTCTGAAATCCTGGCATCAAGGCGAAGGGAAGGGAAAGCTATTGTTCCCGATAAGAATCTACAGAAGACAGAACAAACTTCAGTTGAGGAAGGTCCATCAAGACCTGTAAGTTTCCGCTAACTCAGTGGAACTTTGCAAAACGCTTTTGGTCTCATATACTTTCAAACACAATGCAGGTAAGGAAAAGAACACCGCGCAATCGTGAAGTGATGACGAAGGAAGAGACTAGCCCAAAGAGACGTAGAGTTTCAAGAGAGAAGCCAAAGTCTAATGCTGTGATGGCTTCTAGGTTTAAACCTTCCAACAGGAAGAGAAAGCGAGGAAAACGAAGGGCAGGCTCCTCTGGATTGCGAAGAAGATCCTAAAAAAGGTTTGGCAAATTTCAAGAAACAAATTGGATATTGTGTTAAAAGGTAAAGTTTGTTCATTCTAAGTTATTCTTAAGCCTTTAGAGTACAAAAGAATATATATATATATATATATATATAGTGGCTGTGTTTTGATTCTTCATGTCAACAATATATTCAAACTACATGAAGTTTATGTATTTGTCAACTAAATCAACTTTTGAACTTTGCTTCTGAAATTATTTAGAGTGTATATATTTGTTACTACAGGATCTACTATTTTATCTTATCAATCAAATATGTTTTATATCTCGTCGGTGGGCTTAATCCAAAAGTATTCGTTTTATTGTTTTTTTTTTTTTGGTTCAAAACAAATAGGTAAGTTTATCTACAAAAATAAATTGAAATCTACAACTTAAATTTTTACCAAATAAATTCAACAATTCTAAACCCAAGTACAATTTAGCCAATCATGCACTATATTTTGCTAAATATGTTAGTTTTCTTTTGCATTATTTCTGAATGTCATAATTTGAGATAATAGTTCATGTAGTTTTAGTCCCAAATCCTTAAACTTTGTGTAGTTTTTTTTTTTTTTTTTTTTCTTTTCATCTGTATTCCAAATACATAATCTCCTGATAGAAATGATAAAATAAGAGAATAAAGAATTATTAGTTAAGACATTATTTCAAATACATTCGTCTGGAGAGTTTGGCAGAGACAATGGCTAAAATGGTGACCGTAGGGACGAATATAACATCAGGTATGAGTTTGATTAATTTTAACTGAGGAACATTCTCTCCTGCTCTCTTAGCCGCCATTGCCGCCGGTGGAGATACTATTCCGGTGATCATAGTGACATCATCGAGTTTACTTGGCTTCACGCTCTTTGACATGAACTCTATGAACAATTTTTTCTTCTCTTCTTCGTCTTTCGCTTCCTTCCACCGCGCGAAACAAGCCTGTTTTAGATCATTCAACATTGTTTTGAAAATTTAGAGAAATTATTATAAGGTTCTTTGTATGATTTTCGTAGAGGAGAGGACTCATCACCTTTATTTGGTCCGGGGTCGGGAAATCGAAGTGTCTGCCTGGTAAAGCCGAGTTGAAGTTGCTACACTCAATAAATCAAATTGTTATGTAAAAATCTTTATAAATTTTGTTTGGCCAATAACCTAGACTTATAAGTTAATAACCATTTTTTCTAATGACGACTAAACCATTGTTTTTTGACGAATGATCAAATGAAATTATCCTCACTTAAAGATGTCTAAAACAGCAACGTGGAAATCGTCGAAGCTGTTGATAGCTTTTTGTGTAAATTGTTTGTAGAGTGAACCCATTACCATATTCATCATCTGCGTCGGTGGTACCCCTACGCCAAATATCGAAATCGATTTAGAAAAATATAGGACGAAAATTGTCAAAACAGTTATATAACGATTTAAGTCGTTAACTGTTAGGTTAAAGAATTGCAAAACCTTTTCCGAGAAAGCCCATTGAACCTCCCATATTGTCTAGAAGTTAGAAAGAAAAAAAAGGTAATGTATATATAAATTTGTGTTGGTGTGTGGAATCAGAGACTTGGCTTGGTGGGTTTGGTTCTTTGCAAAGCCAAGAATCTCGAAATCTCTATCCTTGGTATAAGTATAACTTGTGCTTTCCTAAAGTTAAACAAAATCATAGCCTTTGATTTATGCATCTCTTTTCGAAAGCATGTGCCATGGGGAATGACTTGTCCTCTATTCTCCCTACTTTTTGCCTACCACTCTATGAAATTACTATTTTTTCAAATCTAATTCTATAAGAAAGAAGACAAAAATATGAATTCTAGCTTATTGAAAGGTTTGTGAAAAAAAAAAAAAACCTTATTGAAAGGTACTGTTGGTGTCGGATCCCGCACTAGAAGTACGAGACCAACCAAAGATTGCCACGTAATCGGGTTAATGGCCCGTGAAGGATGAAGCCCATTAGACCCGCGAGCCGAAAGGATGGTCGAAGTGGTTGTCACCATTTAGATAATCCGAAGTGACTGCATTGTGACACGAGTTCGGTGTAGAAGACACGGGTAAGTCGGTTCAAAGACATTTGGGCCAGAAGAGGCGAGACCCATGAAGATCAGAGTCAACTCAAATTCAAACGTTGAGCATTAAAGCCGAAGAATCAAAACGGGCACATTTAAGAAGGAATAATTGTACTTAATTACTCATTTTAAATGTCGTTTGGCTATGTATAAATATAGAGGCCAATGGCCATGTAAAGGGGATCGCCCTCTCAAGAGAGAAAGAATATAGCAATTTTTCGTATCAATTTATAAGTTTTTTGCATATTTATTTTTGTCCCTCAAGAATAATCTTTCCCACTTAACAAAATACTTGAGTGTGTGAATCCGACATCCACATTTTGGCGCCGTCTGTGGGGAAATATCAGGATTCTTGAGTGATCAGATTTCCTTTTTTCTACATTTCCGAGATAAGCGACAATGTCCGGAGGAGACGCCGTTGAGACATCATTGGCCGAAACCCTCAAAGCTATGCAGCAAACCATGTCGGACATATCACAAAAGTTCTCGGATGTGGAGAAAGCCGTCGATACGTTGCAAACATCCCAGGTATCTCTTAGTCAAAACGTCAATAATATACAAACTCGTGTTCGCTCTTTAAGTGCAGGAAACCCGGTGGGAACCCGAAGAGGGATATTCAACTCGCCAAGTTCCGCTGCACGAAATGAAACCAGCGGACAAACAACTCCCGGTGCTACTAATAATGTAGCTCAGACGTCGGAAGAAGAGACGCAGCTCGGGGATGAAGAACAACTTGCAGCTCAGTACGAGCAGGAGAACCTCGACCAGTTCGAGACCATGAGGAAGGTTAGCCAGGAATTAAAAGAAATGAAATCAAAATTTCATCAGGCTACAAGTTCGGAGCCAGACATCAATCGAGTCATTGAAGAAGCAAGGCGAACCCCTTTTATCCCGCGAATTGCAAGTTTGAGGATCAAAGATTCCCGGAAGCTCAAGTTGGACCCTTACAGCGGATTGGAGGATCCAAAAAGCTATCTTGCAGCCTTTCTGATCGCTGCAGGAAGAGTCGAGTTGGATGAAGCTGATGAGGACGCAGGCTATTGCAAGCTGTTTTCGGAGAATCTATGTGGCCAAGCTCTAATGTGGTTCACCCAATTAGAGCTGGGTTCGATCGGCAATTTCGACGAACTGTCAGCCGTATTCTTAAAGCAATACTCTATCCTTATGGATAAAAGCGTTTCAGATGCCGATCTTTGGAACTTAACGCAAGGATCTAATGAGTCACTTCGAGTTTTCATCACCAAATTCAAAGGGGTGCTATCAAAACTCCCAAGAATCTCACAGCAATCAGCTTTATCTGCCCTACGAAAAGGATTGCGACATGATTCAAGGTTTAAAGAAGACTTAATACTTCATAAACCAGATACAATTCAGGATGCACTCTTCCGTGCAAACAATTGGATGGAGGTAGAAGACGAAAAAGAAAGTTTTGCCAAACGGAATAAACAAGAAAAGCCGGCAGTCACCATCCCTACCAAGAAGTTCGAGCCTAGAGAGAGCAAAGGACCAAGGAAGTTTGGGTCGCAACCCATCAACAATTCCGTCGGGAAGCAATTCCAAGGGAAAGGAAGATCAAACACTTGGATTTTGTGAAGGAATACCACGAAGCAAAGGAAAACTCCAAAGATCAAGATTCCAAAAGACCAAGGTTATCCAACGAGGAAGAACCGAGAAGTTCGAAGGGGAGGATCAATGTGATTCTAGGAGGTTCCAGATTTTGCGGAGATTCAATAAGTTCCATCAAAAAACATAGACGAAATATCTTACTCAAAGCAAGCTTGAGTGAAGAAATTGATTTTCAAGGTGCTTCAATATCATTTAACGAAGAAGAAACGCGGCATCTCGAAAGACCGCATGACGATGCTCTAGTCATTACTCTTGACGTCGCAAACTTCGAAGTATCAAGGATCCTTATAGATACAGGCAGTTCGGTCGACTTGATCTTTTTAAGTACTCTAGAAAAAATGGGAATCAGCCGAGGAGACATAGTAGGACCCCCATCTCCATTAGTTGCATTCACAAGCGAGTCAACCATGTCTCTCGGAACAATCAAGCTACCGGTCCTTGCCAAGAAGGTATCGAAGATCGTGGACTTCGTTGTCTTCGATAAGCCCGCTGCTTACAACATCATCCTCGGGACTCCCTGGATTTATCGGATGAAAGCAGTCCCCTCTACATATCATCAATGTATCAAATTTCCAACATCAAATGGGGTAGAAACAATTCGGGGAGATCAAGAAGCTTCACGGACTTGTTACTTAGCTAGCCACCGTATGAAAATTCAATAGCAATTAACGAAGCCCGCAAAAGAAGGACTAAAAACAAAATTTCCTAGTGGGCAGAAGAAAGAGGATGTAGTAGTCGAAGTAGTACTGGAAGAGGACAAGCCGGACCGGAAAATTAGAATTGGAGCAACTTTGACTGGCCAAATAAAAGAAGCTTTGATCGAACTCTTAAGGAAAAACAAAGCATCATTTGCATGGTCAGCAGCGGACATGCCGGGCATAAATCCGAGTATAATTTGTCATGAACTAAACGTAGATCCAAGCTTCAAACCGGTGAAACAAAAAAGAAGAAAGCTTGGAGTGGAGCGGGCAAAAATAGTAAACGACGAAGTGGATAAACTCTTGAAGATAGGGTCCATAAGAGAAGTGCAATATCCGGAGTGGGTAGCAAACACTGTCGTTGTCAAGAAAAAGAATGGGAAAGATAGGGTTTGCATCGATTTTACAGACCTGAATAAAGCATGCCCCAAAGATAGTTTCCCGCTCCCGCATATAGATCGACTTGTAGAGTCCACCGCTGGAAATGAGCTGTTAACGTTCATGGACGCCTTCTCGGGTTATAATCAGATAATGATGAACCCCGACGATCAAGAAAAGACGTCATTTATCACAGATAGAGGTATCTACTGTTACAAGGTAATGCCTTTTGGCTTGAAAAATGCAGGAGCAACTTACCAACGGTTGGTGAACAAAATGTTTCACAATCACCTCGGGAAGACTATGGAAGTCTACATAGATGATATGTTGGTTAAATCGTTGAAGAAAGAAGATCATGTTAAGCATTTGGAGGAATGTTTTGATATTCTCAATAAATATCAAATGAAGCTGAACCCGGCGAAGTGCACATTTGGAGTCCCATCCGGAGAATTCCTTGGTTATATTGTGACAGAAAGAGGGATTGAAGCCAATCCAAATCAAATTAACGCCTTTCTAAACATGCCCTCTCCGAAAAACTTCAAAGAAGTACAACGGTTGACTGGGCGAATTGCGGCCTTGAATCGTTTTATCTCGAGATCTACAGATAAGTCGTTGCCTTTCTACCAAATTCTAAAAGGGAACAAAGGATTTCTTTGGGATGAGAAGTGTGAAGAAGCTTTTGGGCAGCTTAAGGCATACTTAACCACTCCACCTATACTGTCCAAACCGGAAGTGGATGAAAAACTCTACTTGTACGTTTCAGTTTCAAACCACGCGGTTAGTGGAGTCTTGGTTCGGGAAGACCGTGGGGAGCAGAAACCAATTTACTATGTGAGCAAGTCAATGACGGATCCGGAAACCAGATATACAATGATGGAAAAACTTGCACTTGCGGTGGTAACTTCGGCTCGGAAGTTGCGTCCATATTTTCAGTCCCATCCAGTTGAAGTATTAACTAACCAACCACTCAGAACAATACTTCATAGTCCAAGTCAATCCGGACGTTTGGCGAAATGGGCGGTGGAATTAAGCGAGTACGACATAGAGTTCAAAAGCCGGGTCAGTATGAAGGCTCAGGTCTTAGCAGACTTCCTGACCGAACTACCAATACCTGGAACGATAGATCAACCGGAGAACCAAACTTGGAAATTACACGTAGATGGGTCTTCAACAAAGCAAGGATCCGGAGTGGGAATTAGGTTGGAATCTCCGACATCAGAAATTCTAGAACAATCATTCCGATTGTTATTCAATGCCTCCAACAACGAGGCAGAATACGAAGCCCTTATTGCCGGACTTCGACTAGCACAAGGAGTTGGAGCTAAGGAAATATTGGCTTATTGCGATTCGCAATTAGTAGTTAACCAATTTAATGGAGACTATGAAACCAAAGATTCAAGAATGGAAGCTTACCTCGAAGTGGTGAAGGATCTATCTAAAAATTTCTCGAAATTCGAGTTAATCCGCATACCTCGCGGAGAGAATACAACTGCAGATGCACTTGCCGCATTGGCGTCAACATCAGATCCTGAGTTAAAGAGAGTTATTCCAGTAGAGTGCATCTCGGAGCGAAGCATTCAAGACAGCAAGGAAACCCTCGTCGTTACAAGGTCTCGAGCAGCGGCACGCGACCGTGGCGAACCAGAGATCGAACCGCCACCCAACAAACGCAGGAAGTCAAAAGGATCAAATACATCTAACAAGGAACCCGTTGTCTTAGCTGAAGAAATGATTCCAGAAACGATGATAGAAACCGAGCCATTACTCGAGGAATATATTCTTGAACCAAACGAACATCCCGAACCAGAGCCGCGGATATTTCGCAAAGTTGACCAAATTCCGGCTAAAGACTGGGGGGCTGACTGGAGGGAGCCAATAAAGCACTACATCACGACAGGCGAGCTCCCAAAGAATAAATGGCAGGCCAGGAAAATGAAAGTCGTTAGCGCGAAATTTTGCCTATCAAAAGATGCGTTATATAGGCGAGGTGTTAGTGACCCTTACCTATTATGCATTT